ACAACATACTTTAAAAATACGAACCGACAGGAAGTAGGTCTCTTTTCGCGAAGCTGGGACAGCAGGAGGAAGGGTGAGATTTTAGCTCTGAGCTCTGACTTCTCGGCTTTCTCTTTTACATTGTTTCTGTGTTTCTTATTTAATAAGACGGTTGGTTACATCTACAGAGGAGTTTGATTGCCCAGGGTCAAATGGGGGCAGTTCTCTGTTTTGATAGACTTATGTAAGTTTCCACACATTATAAATGTCCCTTCCCATAATACATCTGATTTTAATCATATACATACCAAATTGTTCATAGTCATAAGAGTTATGGGGGTTCTCCATAAAAATTATTTCAGAGTATACTACTTGCCTTATTGGACAAGCATCTAAAACTAGTTTAAACATAGTTGGTTCCTCTACCCTGGTACCCAGATATCACTGGAGTAAGCATGAATAGAAACCATCTACATTTGGTGGTCATTTTGGGGAGGGGAAGCTTATCCCATTGTTTGGGATGGGTGTACATACAGCTTGATGCACGTCAGATCCTAGGTTGCTAAGCATATTGTTCAAAGAGGGGTGTGTGTGTAAATACTACATGCAAGTGGGGGTCCAAGGTTGCTAAGTGCATTATCATTACTAGAGAGGGATATGTATAGCCCAAAGCAAAATGGAGTCACAGGTGACTAAACTATTCCCTGTTCTCACCTGCCTCATATCTAGAGTACCTTTGGTTCAAGAAAAACTTTTGGGAAAGGAAGTTCAATAAGTGAAGAAGCACAGTGAATAAACGCAATGCAATGTGACCTTTTTTTCAGAAAAAAAGGCAGTTTGACACTTTGAGAATTTAAACTCTTACAGAAGTTTTCTAATTCTTAGGACAATTGTCCTTCAGGGAAAAAAGTAATTAAAAAAAATAAAGTAATGAAAAGTGGCATACTTCCCTTTATGGGAGACATGAGGTGCATGCTGTGTAAGAGGACGCTCCAAGCTTCAGCAGCGTCACTTGCAAATAGAAAAGACAGCTGATAAAGCCAGGCATGATGGGAGGCAGAGGCAGGAGAATCTCTGAGTTTGAGGCCACTCTGGTCTATGGAGTGAGTTCCAGGACAGCCAGAGCTACACAGAGAAACCCTGTCTCAAAAGAAAGAAAGAAAAAAGAAAAAAACAGCGGATGAATCTTCCTATCATTACAACCTAAGTGCTCAACTAAATATGAAAACAAAAAGTGATTTCTATTTATTCTCAGTTCGAACCATTACAGTTGAATGGGGAAATGGGAACAGCGTCTGTGATTGTTCGTTTTAAATGTTGACTCGCCACAACCCAGAATCACTTGGGAAGAGAGCCTGAATGACTAAGTTGGCCTGTGCTCACGTCTGTGGGAGATTGCTCTGATGGTCAATTGATGTAGGAAGACACAGCTCACTGTGAGCAGCATTGTGCCCTGGGTAGGAGGGGATCTTGAACTATATAGGACTTGAGAAATTTAAACAAATAAGTAGAAAGGCCTAACTGCCTGGTCAGAGGTTGCAGTCTACCATAGCCTGGCAGCTTTCTCTAAGCTCAGCAACACAAAGGATTTCCGTCCCGCCTCCCCCCAGCAAAAGCTTCCTGTTCTCCACCTACCCTTATCTGGAGGATGTCTCTAGGTCCAGGATGACTGACTTATCTCAAGGGCGACCCTTGACACAGTTCCCTGCAGATGCTCTTCCCCTAAAGACCCACCTGGTAATAAAGCAAGTGCTCTAGCTGTTTTGATAAGAATGTGCTTCCACTAATACAGCTGTATGGTAGGAGCGTGCTACTTAATGCAAATTAAGGTTTGTCCCCAGGCTCCCCAGTCCTATATATTCGATGCACTCTGGAATACATTTGAGCTGATTCACTGAAGTGTTCTCCTGGAGGGCTGTCTCCATCGTACCCACAGCTGTCTGAAATCTGTTCTCTACCTCTGCTCCCTCCACCTTCATGAACCAGTGCAGCCAACAATCCTGAGGGAGAAGAAGAGCCACACAAATATAGCAAGCAGGCAGCGGGGTGCTTTTGTTTCTCTTTGCTCTTGACTGACTGTGAATGTCATGTGACTAGCTACTTCAGTACCTGCCTTGGTATCTCTGAAATCATGGGCTGTAACCTGGGCTTGTAAACTGAAATAAACCTTCCCTGGACTGGCTAATCTTATGTCAGCTTGATACCAGCTGGAGTCATTTCGGGAAAGGAAACATCAATTGAGAAAATGCTCCCACTAGACTGGCCTATGAGCAAGACTCTGGTACTTTTTTTTTTTTAATTGATGACTGATGTGGGAGGGTCCAGCTCTATTGAGACAGTGATACCCTTAGGCTGGTGGTCCTGGGTACCATATAGGAAAGCACTGTTCTATGGCTTCTGCATCAGCTCCCTCCCCCCAACCCTGGGTTCCTGGCCCCTGACCTGTGTGAGTTCCTGCCATGCCTTCCCTCAATAGACTGTGACCAGGACAGAGAAGCCAAATAACCAAATAACCCTTTCCTCCCTCAGCCCTCCCTCCTCATTGCTCAGGATGTTTTTTTCTTATCACAGCAACAGAAATCAAAGGAGGACAGGGTCTCACTCTGTAGTCCAGAATGGTCTTGTTAGACTCTGGTAGCTGCCACATGACAGGCTCGGCATGCTGGCTAGTTTTACGTCCACTTGACACAGCTAGAGTCATCGGAGAGGAGGGAGCCTCGGTTGAGAAAATGTCTCCATAAGAACTGGCTGCAGACAAGCCTGTGCGGGGCTTTTCCTTTTGGGCCACCAACCAGCTTCCAAATCATGACACAGAGACAATATTATTTGTGAATGCTCAGCCTAGCTTAGGCTCGTTTCTGGCTAGTTCTTTTAACTTAAATTAACCTGTTTCTCTTTATCTGCCTTGTGCCTCAGTGCTTTTTACCTTTATTTCTGTATGTCCTACTCTGCGTCTGCTGGTTGGTGGCTGCTTGGCTGGCCCCGGGCATCCCTCTCTTTCCCCCTCATTCTCTCCTCATTCTTCTCATTCTTTCTTTCTCAGCCTAGATTTTTCCTCCTATTTATTCTCTCTGCCTGGCAGCCTTGCCTATCCCTCTTTGGCCTACCTATTCAGCTCTTTATTAGACCAAGCAGGTGCCTTAGGCAGGCAAGGTGAAACAAATGCAACACATCTTTATATAATTAAACATACATCCTTATACCATTAAACAAATGCAGCATAAACAAATGTAACATATCTTTACACAGTTAAAGTAATAGTCCTCAGCATAAATAAATGTAACACATCTTTGCCCTGTTAAAATAATATCTCGCAACACAAGCCTGCAGGGCATTTTCTTAATTAGTGAATGATGGGGGAGGGCCCAGTCCATTGTGGGTGGTGTCACCCCTGGGATGGTGGTCCTGGGTTCTATAAGAAAGCAGGCTGAGCAAGCCATGAGGAGGAAGCCAGTAAGCAGCACTCTTCCATGGCCTCTGCATCAGCTCCTGCCTCCAGGTTCCTGCCCTGCTTGAGTTCCTGCCCTGACTTCCCTCAATGAACTGTGATACGGAAGCCAAATAAGCCCTTTCCACCCCAAGTTGCTTTGGTCGTGGTGTGTCGCCATAGCAACAGAAGCCCTATCTAGGAAACTCCGCCGTCTGACCTCCCGGGCCATTAACGAAGCAAGTTACCGTTAGCCGCAGAAAAGGGGTTCAGCCACACGTGTCCACACGGGAAGAAAAATAAGAGGTCTAATGACAAGCCCTCACCTCGCCCCAGCCCGTCTTTTGTGTCCTGACAGGAGGTGTAGGTCTACATAGAAGACAAAGAGTCTGCTTCACTAAGCAGCCCTGGTCAAGGTATGGTCTCTCCCATCGTTGATCCATTAGTTTCTGGGCTCCAGTCCACCTGTGAAATGACCTGATAAGCTGACAAACCCCTGGCAGGCCAACTCCGCCTCTGGGTTGCCCCACACAAATGCAAGCACACACCTGACCCGTCACTTTCCAGGAGACTGTCTTCCTCCTTTCTAGCCATGAGTTTCTCTGGTCCCATCTGGCCCCGAGGTCCCACAGCTGCTTATAAAATAACCACACAGAGGCTTAATATCAATTGCGAATTATATGGCCTATGGGTCAGGCTTCTTACTAGCTAGCTCTTATAACTTAACTCAGCCCATTTCTATTAATTTATACGTTGCCACTTGGCCATGGTGTTACTGTTGTTCCTTCAGAGATGGGCTGGCGTCTCCTTGACTCCACCCTTCTTCACCTCGTCTTCAGTCTGAACGGACCACCTAACCTTATCCTGCCCTGCCATAGGCCAGTGCAGCTTTATTTATCAACCAATCAGAGCAACACATATTTACATGGTACAGAAAGACATCCCGTGGCACTCCTTCTTCCATAACGTCCTTTGGCTCACTTTTCTGGTACCAATCTAACTGGTACCAACCTTATTTTTCTCCCAGCATAAGCTTCCTGGAGAAATTCTAATTCCTTGGGGGAATTCTGCCAGTAATCTCCTAGCTGAATGGAGGGATACACATGTCTCCTTAGAATGGCTTTGTTCCTGCCAGAATGACTAAACTTTTTAATCTACCCAGTGTGTGTCACCACACCCAATTATAATGGCATGTTAAAAGTCTGTAAAGCTAGGGAGGCTGCTGGAAGAGAGCTGGTCTGGCATGCATGAGCTCATATACAATATTGTAAGTATTTTAGGGGAGTTGTTTATTGAAATAATGTTCAAAAACACAATGTTTAGATCTTCTGGCACTAATTCACTTTTCCTCCACAACTTATTTTAATTAATAAAGGCTCTAGCAAAAGTTTCAGATAATGTTACTGTTGGTCATGCTGCGGTGCTTGTGACTGGCCGCCAACCGTGGCAGCCATGGCGACAGAGGAGAGTGCTGGAGGAGAGTCACGAGCCATGGTTACCTTTCTGAGCTTTATTGGGAGAGAGGTGGGGGAGAGAGAGGAAGAGTGGGGAAGAGAGAGAGGGGGGGCAGATGGAAGGAAGGAGCAGAAAGGAAAGAGAGGGAGTGGGGAGAGGATAGATGGAAGGAAAGAGCAGGAAGGAAAGAGAGGGACGCACAGAAGGCCCACCCGCTTTTTAGGCTGGGGCGCCGTCGAAGGCTGATGACGTAATTAAGGACCGAATCCTTACAGTTACTACACACAGAAAAGTGAGCCGAGACACTGTGGAAAAAGGGGGAACACAGTCTCCCGGAAGTGATAGGTCGGGTGTATGCTGGCTTGCACTTGTGTGGGTCAACCCAGAGGCCGCGAGTGGGAGGATGCTAGATGGTAATTAGTGTCTCTATTACCCACTCATTCACACTGATTCCTTCCCTTACCGCTGTGAAGAATGCAGCAATAAACATGGATGTGCAGGTCTCTCTGTGGTGGAATCAGTTCTTCAAGTATACGTGCATGGGTGGGATAGCTGGGTCCTGCGGCAGTTTGATTTTTAGTTTTTTTGAGAAACCTCCATACTGATTTCCACGGCTGTGCTAGTTCACACTCCCCCAACAGTGAACCAGAGCCGCTCCTTCCCAGTGTCCCCGGCAGCATTTGGTGGTGGCCATTTTCTGCAGCGCCCACGCTACTCCCGTTCACCATGTCCGAGCCAGGAGCTGAGGATTAAAACAAAGACAAGACAGCAGGTCATTCGTCTCAGTAGACTGCCCTTTATTGAAGGAGGGAAGAGGCCTTAAATACAGGCTTACAGCACAGTGGAAGAACCTGGGAGGGCAGAAGTTCACTACAGATGTTTTACATTCTAGCATTACACCAATATGCAGGATGGGCAAACAAGGAACCTCCCGTAAGTTGTTTAGGAGGAAGGAAACCGGCAGGGAATTAGCATAGGAAGGACATCTGATTAAGGTCAGCAAGCAAGGCAACAGCTACCCAAGGAACGGGGGTCAGGGCCCAACAATTTTCTTGAGAATAGCAATTCTGACTGGAGTGAAATGGAATTTCAAAGTCATCTTGTGATGTGCATTTCACTAAAGGCTAAGAAGATTGAGCATTTAAAAAAAAAGAAAGAAAGAACACTCATTGGCCTTTTGTGTTTCTTCTTTGAACTATCTATTAATTTCATTAGCCCATTTGTTTTGCTTTTTTGGTGTGTAATTTTTGCAGTTGTTTATATATTCTGGTTATTAGTCACCTGTCTGGCATAGAGATGGTAGACCTTCTCCCATTCTGCAGGCTGTCTGTTCACCCTGCTGATGGTTTGCTGGGCAGACAATTTTCCCTTCATGTAGCCCATTTGCTGATTCTTGGGACTACTTCCGATGCTGCTAAATGTGTAGGAAGTTCTTTCTGTTACTTTTTTTTTTTTCTTTATTTGTATGAGTGTTTTTTCCCCTTGCATGTATGTAAATGCACTGTGAGCATGCCTGCTGCCCATGGAAACCAGAAGAAAGGACTTGATTCCTAAAGTTATGAATATTTGGAAGCTGCCATGTGGGTTCTGGGAAGGAAACCCAGGTCCTCAGCAAAAGCAGCCAGTCCTCTTAACCTCTGAGTATCTCTCCAGTGCTGTGGATATCACTCTGTATAAATAAAATGCTGATTGGCCAGTAGCCAGGCAGGAAGTATAGGCAGGACAAGCAGAGAAGAGAATTCTGGGAACAGGAAGGCTGAGGCAGAGATACACTGCCAGCTGCCGCCATGAGATGTTAAGATACCGGTAAGCTACAAGACATGTGACAACTTATAGATGAATAGAAATGGGTTGATTTAAGATATAAGAACTAGATAACAAGAAGCCTGCTGTGGCCATACAGTTTGTAAACAATATAAGTCTTTGTGTGTTTACTTGGTTGGGTCTAAGTGGCTGCGGGACTGGCAGGTGAGAGAGATTTGTCCTGACCATGGGCCAGGCAGAACTAGGAAAACTCCAGCTACTCCCTAGTGTCTTTTTTTTTTTTTCCAACTGTGAGCCAGGGTCTCTCTTTATTGAGCCCTGGTGGTCCTGGAGCTTGGTGTGTAAGGCTGGCCTTGAACTCACAGAGCTCCGCCTGTTTCTGCCTCTGGCATACTGAGATTTAAGGCTTGCACCACCACACCTGGCTTCTCCCTGACTATGTTTGAAATGGACTTCCTGCATTTCCTCCGGCAGTTTTCACGGTTCAGGTTTTAAATTAAGGCCTTTGGTTTATTTAACAGCTGATTTTTGTGCAAGTTCAGAGTTATGGATCCAATTTCATTCTTCTGTAGGTACATACCCATTTTTGCCAATGCTGTTTCTTGAATAGTCTGTCTTTTCTCCCCAAGTTTGTCAAATATTAAGAGGCCATATCTATTATGGGTTCATTTATGGTTCCCTACTCTGTCCTGTTGGTCATGACATCAGTTTTTTGTGCTAGACCAGGCATGTGTTGTCACTATGGCTCTTTCTAGTTTCGAAGGCTATACCACACTCACACCTAAATATGTACATACATGTGAACACTGAAAGTGAGGACTGGGTGTTAGGATCCTGCCCTGCGCAGCTCGGGGTCTTGTGTCTTACGTCATCAGGAGGCTCTGGCCACGTGGTCACGCAATCTGTGCCTTAAAAAAGCCAGACTCGGCCCCTACCCTCTCTCTCTGTTCCCTGCTCTGCTCTGCTCCCTCCATCTCTCTCTCTCTCTCTCCAGGCCTGGCTCTCCTCCCTCCTATCCCCTCCTTCCTCCCAATAAAACTCTCTGTAACTCTGAGGCCATGGCTTGTGACGTTTCTGCCAGTAACCACCACCGCCACCAGCACCGATTATCATCCTTTCCTTGGGGAGTTTGCCACACAGCCCAACACCTAAGTCTGATCTCTAGAAATGTGATGGAAGGAGAGAACTAATTCCTCAAAACTGTTCTCTGGCCTGCACACACATACCGCTGGTATCTCTACCTCCCACGGCCACCACCACTGACATGACTGTCACGGATGGATGAAGATGAGACCATCCCTAATGTCTAAGCATGAGCATTTCCCAAGACACAGATATGGCTGTTAGTTATTATTATATGTGGCTCTATGCTATTCATTAAGCGTCACAGTTTTCCGTGCAAGAAAAGCCACAAGGCACAGCAAAACCCACTATAAGAGTTTATTAAGAGAAGGAACAGAGGGGAATGTGCTTAGGCCTGTGGAATTTGGTGCAGGGAGAGAGAGGAGGGAGAAGAAGGAAGAGGCGGAGTCTGTGACCCGCTTTTATGAATTCCCCTGCACATTCGCATATGGGCTTACCTAGCTACACCACGCATGCACATAGATTACATGATCATGCTGTGAGCAAATTATGTGACCATGAAGTGCATGGATTACATAGGACATAAGGCCCCCGGGATGCCTAAACCTCTTGCTTGGCTACTGGACAGAGCATGTGCGGTCATGTAGCAACAATGACCAACCACCCTACCTCGGCTAATAGAAGTACCTGCTGCCTTTTTGCCGGGCACAGCTTTAGCCTAGGTCTGGTTTTCATTTAAAATTAGTTAAATTTAATTTAAAACCTGACATGCTAAAACTGCTAGGTCCTCGTCACAGGATTAGTAGGATGTGGAGCCGCAGAATCACGTCCTTGGCTTCAGATGGAAATTCAAAGCAAGGCCTCCTCCTGAACTTACCCCAAATGTAACACACACTGAGGTCATTTCGGTTCTTCCTGATGCCCCCTTGGTTCTCTTGAGATAACATCTCCTCAGTGCAGCATGCTTAGACACAACTCGTTTAACAGGTGTATTCCTGGTATTACCAGAATCTGAGGGTGTGTGCTGGGGCCCTAGTGATGAGGCTCCTCTAGGAATCTCCATGTAAGTAGTAAGGGTGATACCCATGGAGCCCTGAGGCCAGAGAGAAACTGT